TGCCCCCCACCAGCTCAGCTGCCCAGGGCCCCATCCAACCTGGCCTCAAGTGCCTCCAGGGATGGGGCACCACAGCTTCTCTGGGCAGCTGTGCCAGCGCCTCACCACCCTCTGAGTAAAGAATTTCTTCCTAACATCTAACCTAAACCTGCTCTCTTCTAGTTTAAAGCCATTGCTCCTTGTCCTATCATTGTTTGTTCACATTGACTATGTAAAAAATTGGTTCTTTTCCTGTTTATAAGCTCCCTTTTAGTACTGGAAGGCCACAATGAGATCTCCCTGGAGCCTTCTCTTCTCCAGACTGAACAAGCCCAGCTCCCTCCACCTCTCTTCACTCCAGCTCTCTAATCATCTTTGTGATCCTCCTCTGGATCCCTTCCAACAGCTCCATGTCCATTCTGTACTGGGGGCCCCAGGTCTGGACACAGAACTCCAGATGGGGCCTCACAAGAGCAGAGAGGGATAATCCCAGTAACACCAGTAATGACACTGCTGTTGTTGCAGTTATTGCTGTGGGTCAGTGGAAAATAGGCATAGCAGAGCAAGAGGAAAGTTCATTCCTCTGAAGCTGTAATGGGCAGGAGGCTGCACTTATAGAAGTGGGAAATGAGGCTGTGCCCCATGCATGACTTGCTCGTCTCCTTCACTTAACTGCAGTACTCACAGGTAGTGTGAGCACAACTGTATAATAACTTCTCATGTTTTTATTAACTATGTAAGCTTTCCCACACACTTTTCCTTTGGCTTTTCTTCATCTATACGTTCTACCTTTTAACAACCAGCAGCCATGGCCTCACCAGTTCAGGAGCTCTCCTTCCCGTCAGCACAGACTTCCTGCATGCAGGAACAGCAAGCAAAGACCCTTGGACAGGTTTGCTCTCAATCCAGCAACAATATAGCAAATGCTGGTGTGACATTCACCTCCCCTAAATAGTCCCACTGAGGTGAGTTCTTCATAATTACGTCTTCATAATTATTTCTTTCTCTGATGTAGCAGGAGGGAGGGAGGCATGTGCTGCCCTACACGCCAGTGGAGGAGATGTGTACTACCTCCCACCATCATGTGCCTCAGGGAGAGGGAGGGCATGAAAAGGACCCAAAGGTGTGTTCCTTCAACACCTACTGCTTGACACTTGAGCCCTGGTTTTATGATGGTCAAGTGTCACAGGGGACCAAGTTACAGGGTGAATCAAATGCTATATTTAGGAAGAACAACTGGAAGCTATGACAGGAATTCTCTTTTACACTTTGCTTCTCCACTCCAGCCTGGAGCAGCTCTCGGTGCCGTCCAGGCTGAAAGCATCAGAGCTGTTTCAGACACATTTGGCGGATCACAGTCAATAATTCAGCCGGTAGAAGAAGATACCTCTTTCACCATCGGAAGGTGTATATACTCATTTGACGGTTTGGAACTTTTCTTATATAACTAGATAAGTAGGCTAATGTTGAAGGGGTCAATTAAAAAAAGACTTATGAAAACTATTTAATGGCTGGCTGCGAGTAGTACTGTTTTTATGCCTGTTTTAATGTCTTGTGCACAGTATTTAGAACAGATCATTATAGTTATTGCTCCATCTACTGCGAGGATCTTAAAAGATTTAAAACTGTCATTTAAATGCCTGCTGACTCATAAGAAGCACAACCGTATTAGCTTAAATGCTGTAGTCCATAGGTACATGCTTATTGTTTTCTATATGCTACATATAGTGAAATGTTATGGGAGGGGTTGATAATAAGAGAAGTAGTCTTTCACTGTTAGTTTAACAGGTAATAGTGATGGTGGGAACTGCATTACAGGAAATACACCATTTTCTTACAGCATGTACTAACACTCAGGAAGCTGCAAAGTGGGGGTTTCTTTTCTTTCTTTGTGCTAGCTGGGTTCCATAATGATGTGGTTCCTGTCTAAGCCTTTTAATAAGATAATACACTGTGGTTCTGTGTCCAAAATAGCCTTTGTGCTTGATGCTGTAAGTACAGCAGGGGGGAAAAGGACAGCATTCAGCTGGGGGGAGTCCCTCCTGGTGTGTGTAAGCTACTGTGCATCTCTTGTGCAGATTACAAAAGATGGCATTATGATACCTCATTGCATTTAAAGCAAATTGAATCAGTCAGCTCATTATCTTTCTGCAGCCCTGTCAGAAATTATTTTTAGCAGAGGGACAGTAGATAGGTCCTTTGTTTTTTAAAGGATCTTTTCACAACACAGATTTTTGTCAGCCTACAAAATGTAGTGGTTACTTTCACTGGGAAGTGAAGAAAGCACAAGAATTTGCAGGGGCTGCCTGGCATTAAACAGCTCCAAACTGAAATCTGTTGCTGCTGCTTCCTAAGTTTGGCTCAGCATGCAGACCATAAAAGGTAAGAGGTAAGGTATGGAGGGGCCCAAAAGGCACCGGGGCATAAAGGCTGTGTGCCTTTACTGCTTCTCTGAGCCTGCACATGGGAAATTTGGCTGTGGAAGTGACTGTGGAGAGTGACTTGTTTGAGTTTGCAGATTGGAGTGGAATGACAGAAAAAATCAGTCAATCAGTCAGTGCAGCACTCTTAACTTTCTGAGACACCTGGAAAAAAATATAGACATGTATACGAATACAGTAATTACTTCAGTAGTAGATACATCTGTAATGTGGGGTTTATTTTCCTATGGTTGATGGTCAGTACTGCTTGGGAGGGAATATCAGGTGAGGGAAAGGGCTGGGGAAGATTGTCTATTTTTACTCAGTGGTGTGCTGTTGTCCTGATTTCTCTAGCAGTAATGAGGACAGCATAAACTGATAGAAAAATCACCTCCTCCGAAAGCAGTCCTACACAACTGTATCCTACGTCTGTCTTTAGGAACAGAAGCCTGATTGCAATCATTGCAAGCTCAGAGGATCTAACTGAAGAACATGATTGCTTTTCTTTTAAAGCAGAAATTCCCTGTAAATCCCTACCCATTTGTTTAAGGTAGCCGCAGAAATGTGGGGCACTGTTTCTGCAATGCAGACACACAAGATGGAAGAGTTTACCTTAGCTTGAATTTTTTTGTGACTGTGTTTAGAAAGTAGACCCGCAGTGTTTTAAAATGTTTCTATTAATTTCCTGCCCTTTTGTTTCCATCTTTCCATTCTAATTTGAAAGAGGAAAAGATAAGAAAAAATAATTAAACTTTTCTGTATTATGAACCCTGTTTTCCAATAGCCTGGTGGGTTGTTCTGTATTTATTTTTGGAATAAAACTCCTGATTAACAGTACAATGCATCAGTGTAAGCTGTGTGGCAGTCATAAAAAAAAAATGTTTATTTCTATGCATAGCAAGGACTTTTAAAAAGGAAAGAGAGTGCAATAAATCTATCAGTTGAAATTTTGGCTTCCTGAAATCTTAGCAAATGTTGCTATGAACTTCAGTGACTAAGATCTCATCCCTCAAACTGAATTCTGAACTTTTCTAAACTATCTCTGATTTCAATATAGTGCCACAATGTATGATTCACTTGAAGCATGCTGTTTGCATTTTGTATGGATGGATTATTTTTTTACTGATTTACAAATGTCAGTTCATCTGTTTAAATCTGAAGCCTACATCCTGAGTTCGGGGTGAGCTAGGAGTCGTACAGCTGAGTGTGCAATCAGAGAGAGACCTCTAATGGCAGATCACCTGCATTTTAAGTTCTCAGAATTAGGAACAGATTTAAAGCTGATAAGAGAGTATGCAAGAACAATCTTCCATGCAGCTTAAGGAATATGACTTCGGACTGATACTCTGGTCTGAAGGCAACCTACAACGATCAGTATTTAATTTGTTACTTGCCTCCATGGGAGAGTTATGGTCTTTGGAGTCACAAAGTCTTTGGCTCACTTGTGATTTCTTACTGTATTTCTAAATTCTCTCCTATATCGTTTATTACTATTCTCAATATTTCATTTTCAATGTTAGGTAAAATACTGTAGTCAAAATATGTTACAGTTTGGTTGTTACCACTGAGTTCTCTGATGGATTTTCAAGTATTTACTGATCAACTTTTAGTATTACTATTCTTATTTTTCATTATAGTGAGATAGTGATGAAGGACTAGTCCAATTGAAGTAATAAACCTCAGTGAAATAGTAAAATGCTGAGACTATTATTCAATTAAAGGGTTAGTAAATTTCTTTTTCATTCTTTTCCCCTTTGCTTCCTCCACCCTTCCCCTTTCCCTCTTCCCTCTCCCCCCCTTCCCCCCTTCCCCTTTTCTCCCCTTCCTCTTTTCCCCCCTTCCCCCCTTCCCCCCTCTCCCTTTGCCCTTCCCTTCCCTTCCCTTCCCTTCCCTTCTTTCTTTCTTTTTCTCTTCATCTTTTCACCAGTCTGTATTTCTGTTTGCATGAAATTATATGAAAAATGTTTTTTAAATTTTTTTAAATTTTCTGATTGCTAAATAAAATTAATAAATCTAAATGATCTAAAACTTTGAAGAGATGCTGCTTAGTGCCCTAGCAATATTTACAGAGAAAGTTGTAGTTTAACCATCTTGATTTTCAAGATGGTTTCATCATTTTTAGTCTGCACGTATGAAGAAATTACAACGATGTGTGAATTAAATGATTATATCTGCATTTATCAATGCTTTGTGACAAGTTATGCTTTATTTGAAAGAAGGTTTAAACTTAGAGTTCTAATAATTCCTGCACACATACTGTGTCAGTGATAATCATGCATTGTTTATTCTCAAACACTTCCTTTAGCTCATGCTCATTTACGATGCCATTAAGGTTTGAGAGATTGTTTATCTGTACTCACTATTGTTTTAAATGTGAAAGAGAGAACTCCATTTGTGGCTATAAAAGATTAATTGGAGAAGCTCAGGTGTTCTGTCTCCTTTTGATATTCAGAAGGAATACCTAAGCAACTCTGAAACTGAAACGGAAATAGGAGATGGGCAGGTGAAATGGATGCCTCTCAAAAGGCAGCATGGGTTAAGTTCTAGTTTATCTCCCCTAGGTATCAGAATGTCACAGCCTGTAACACTTTCCCATTTTGCTTGCAGGGATAGGACACTGTCTTAAAAATGTCAAAACAGCCAGCGTCACATGTCAAAGCCATTCAGGTAAGAGACAGTATTTATGTTTCTAATATAATAAATAATAAATCTCAACCTCTGTTGTCTGACAGACTGCACTTTGCTCCTACAAAACCCTGCAGAAGTGCTAAATGGGGATTATTCTTTCAGAGTTAAAAGCTTGGTACTGAAAAATTTTGACCTGAACAAGATCTTATAATGTGAGCTGAAAAAAAAAGTGAGTCAGATAGGCTGTTTGCTCACTTTCTTGCTGATGTGTCCTTTTCAACACTAGCTTATGTCTGTTGGTGGACCAGCAAAGTAAAACATGGTGATATATCTACAAAAGTGATCAGCATTATGAGTAAAACTAATTATTGCAACTATTGTCTTTTCCATAAAGTTAATGTAATTTTGGGAAAACTTTAGTCTAAAAGGATAGCAGAACTATTAAGGTTTTTAAATGCCTTTATGTCCTCAATAAAAAGAAAAAAAAAAAAAAGGTAATATTTGATTAAGAAAACATTTTGTTTAAAGCATAGATTGTGAGAAAAGTTTACGTTTTCATTAGAAAAGCCCTTTGTGTCATATACTTCCTCAAATGGGTTATTGTCATAAGAATAAAGCTGGTTGTTATACTGTTGTAAAAGAAACACTTTGAGAATTTGCCCATTGTCATCATGAAATAGTTAAACTGTACTTAATTCACGCTATCATTGATTCTTGTAAAAACAATTCCTGAGCTGCAGAATTTTACAGTGTTCTTGTATTTTGTAAAATGCACTTGCAACCAAATTTTTGCCACAAGTTCAGGTTCCCTTTAAAATATGTAAGAGTCATAAAATGGATTTTCTAAAGTCTGACCTACCCTCTGTTTCCCCAAGGTAATACTAACTTAGTGGACTAAATTATCAAGAGGATTAGTTATCCGGTGGCTAGACAGCATACTAAAGTGGAAAGACACTAAAATGCTAATTTTGGTCATCATCACATGTACTGGAAAAGAGGTGCAAGTTGATTCAGTTGAAATCATCAGAAGCCACTGATTTCATGTAGTTCAGATTTTTATCCCTCAGATAATGGAAATATTTATGTGATTAATGAAAAAATGTAGATAATTCATAGATTAAAATGTTTTACATTTTACTTTTAAACTTCATGAGCATGTACAAGTGTTTTTAAGGAATGAATTTAGTTTGTCCATTAAAAATGGATTAAGTTTAAGCAATGAGTTTCATATATTATGAAACTTTAATTTTTACAATGGTAATTTGCACTAGGAAAATTACTGTACAAACTTTAAAATAAATCTATTAAATATTGTATCAAAGGTTACTCCAACAGGGAGACTTGCTCTTGAGTTGATGCTTGTTGCCCTTGGAGCACTCTGAGAACCACAACTCAAAACGTCACATTACTTTCATACTTTGTGATTCATATATTATGTATGATCCTTTGCTGTTAGATGTTACTGCAGTAGGACTGACATCCTGTAGAAAATATACGTAGTGCTGTAACAACAGAAATGTAATGTCACCTCACTGACTGAATTATCTGGTGATGCTGCATGTCAGGAGTAGCTTCTTTCTGACTGTACAAGATGTACACTGAAGTCATCACATGCCAAGGGCCACTAAATACAGACACGTTAAGAGTAACATCTTGTTCCTAAGAGTAGTTTGGGATCAAAGGGGACCAAAGATGTATTAACTTCTGGTAACTTTCGCTTGTTTCCCTTTACTCTCCCCCTCAGTGCATAAAAGGATGTTTATAGATCTCGCTGACAATTATTCTCCCCACAAACACGACTCTTTTTTTTTTCTAGTTTCTTTCTTTTCTTTTTTTTTTAGTTATATTCAGTTTTTTTCCCTCCCCTCTTTTTGTTTTGTTTTGTTTTTTGACTTGAACATGTTTATGTTCAAGGAGCTCTCCAGCTTATTTAGTAATGCTTCTGGACAAGTAGGAATTGGTATGATAGTGTGAAGAATTTATCTAAGGTCATGTGCCAACATAATAATACAGGAAGCATTACTTTCGGAGAAGCCCTCATTCTCACAGAATCACAGAATCATTTAAGTTGAAAGGGGCCTTTAAAGGCCATCTAGTCCAACTCCCCTGCAATGAACAGGGACATCTACAGCTATATCAAGGTGCTCAGAGCCCCATCCAGCCTCACCTTGGATGTGTACAGTGACAGGGCAGCCACCACCTCTCTGGGCAACCTGTGCCAGTGCTTCACTGGTTCCAGTTTGCTTCACTAACTGTTTCAAAGCCCTTTGTTCCTGAATACCTGAACATGATCCCAGCCAATTTTGGTTAAAATACAAGCAAGGCTTAGGCTTTTGATTACTACTGAATGAGCAACAACCATTACCAACAAATAGAAGGGACACACAATGTTTACCAAACTAATTTACACATACTCCACATTCATTCATAGTTCATAAACTTGTTATTAGTTGCAGCAGAACTTAGAAGGTGGCCTTGAGAAAGACAAAGATTGGATGTAGCTTCTCAGAAAGAAGCCACATACTTTTAGATGTGTTCCCTTTAGAGTGTTCAGGAAGACCTTAGTAGAGTGCATTAAGACAAATTTCTACTCATTATGAGAACTGCAATGACATCCAAACTGTGATAGGCACTTTCCAGAAACAAAGAAAGATGTGAGCCCAATAAGAATCAGTATTATTAAAAATAAGTAATGCAGATACAGAGGTCTGTCTACAGCAATTATAATTTACAGCTTCAAGAGTTTGGAATGAAAAATGTTCTATTTAGCATTCCACTGGATGGGGTCAGAGAAGAAAGAAGTCACCAAGACTTGTGTCTCCATCCCAGCAGCCAGGTAGCAAAAGCCCCGAGGAGGATTTTTAAAAGCGCAGTTATACACTTGTGTTGATTGCAATACAAACAGTCCTTCCAGAGCTACACTGGCATGCAGGACTCAGTCCATTGCTCATGTTTTACATTGGCTTCTTATCCGTGATAATGGACCAGCCTTGGGTTAAGAGGAGATTTATGCTCAGAATCCTGGCATCTCTGGTCAGGAGCTACTAGAAAATTAGCCATTAGCCATTAGCCAAATATTTAAAGTTATCATGTGTTATAATGTAGTGTGCTATCAATTCCAGACAATATTAAACTATGTCTTAAAGGCTACTCATTTTACTAAGTAAGTATTTCGTGTCTGCATCTTGTCTAAACTCTGAAGTGAATGCATTTATTGCAGGAAAAATGATTCAAACCACAGCAGTGTGACACAGATCAGTCTGAAAATGCTGAAGTGGACCAAAGAATCGCTTCTTTAATTTGATTAGCAGTCTGGCACTTACCGATTTGCTTTTGTTTCCTGAACCATTTTTAGTCACCGCTGTCATCAGTCCCCCACAGGAAGAAATACAAGGATTTACGGTTTTGTGGTCAGCCTTGTAGGAGGCTGTTTTATGCTTTTATTGTCCAAGAAGAATAGATGCTCCAAAAAAATGAGGAGGATAGATCCATCCTGGGAATAGTTCTGGTGATTCAGTTCTGCAAACCTGTGTGGCCACACTCTCTGTAAAGTGCTAAGCTGTTTCCTATTCCAAAAAAAGCATCTGGCTGGAGGTACCAGAGACTGTCTGGGGAGATGCATAAAATTATAAATAGCAAAGCTGTTTTTTTTCCACTGCTAAATGAAATAATGGGTTAAGTACTGTGAGGCTGAAAATGCCCTGTCTCCTGGGAACTTAATGAGTGCAGACGAAAGGTTTCACAATATCTAAACTAATGCTCAGCGAAAAAGCATGTGAAATGAATCCCTATTTGTCTCTAAAATACATGGCTCTACAGATCTTTGCAAGCCCCACTGAAATGGAATCAGCAACTTGCATAAATAGAAGTGTAAAAAAATGGAAAAAGAGAAAGCTGCTTATTTCATATCAATTGGATTCTTAATTCATCAGGTGCTGAATTATGGCCAGAACATTTGTGGGCTGTGTTCCTGTGGTTATCCAACCTGGGCGCAATCTGCAGCACCATGATTTGAGCAGAAGGATGGTATTGTTCATCCTCATTTTGTGCAAATCAGTCAGATGGTAAATGACAATAAAGCAGCTCACTGTGTGAAGGTTCTCTGCTTCAGCTCAGTGGCATTACCAATTCACCCGCTGGTTTTCGAAGTGGGAGTCATGATATTTTGATGACATTTCCTATGAGCAGCTTCTTTTCAGAGATCATGAGATAAGAATAGGTTTAATTTGTGCACTTAGTTGATCACGCCATTCGACTTTTAAAATGATCCTGTGTGGGTCACACAAGGACAGATACATTTTAGCCATTCTTTCCTAAGCTGTCCTTCCAGGAGGCTTTATTTTTAAAAATGTATTGCAAAACGCATTATTATTATGGCTACTAGCTTATCTCACAGATGAAAAAACAGATTTCTGTAGTCATATAGGTAATATTTGAAGGAATGCTGTTGAAGCCAGGGGCTAAGGCTCTGTCATGTGTTTGACCAGGATTGGGCTGATTTGAGAAGTGGGCCACTTTGGGGCTCCTCCTACCCCGGTCTGGGTAGCTTTGTTTTTTCCATCTTTGAAATAGAATCATGGAATTGTAGAGATGGAAGTGTTTCTCTTTCCCACGAAAGTGTTGTTACAAATGTCTGTACAATAATGTCTCTGCTCCTGTTGCACCCTTTTAGAGTTCTGCCGTTAACCATGTCTATATATCAGTCATTATTATAAGTGTTATGATTTCGTCCTGACAGGCTAATATTAACATCCCCATGGGAGCTTTTAGACCTGGTGCAGGACACCCTCATAAAAGAAAAGAAGTAACACCTGAAGAAGTGGAGGAGGTAAGAAGAAGTGGGCTTTTTGGTATTTTCTTTTTTTCAAGGGAGTCCCTGACATTGATGTAAGAAAGCATTTAAATCAATCTTACAGCACTACCTACCGATCATAGGTACCACAGCTGATGTATGGAAATGACTCATGCTAGTAACTGATCACCTATGAAACACCTTGTAAAAATGTAGCTTTTGCTGCCAAGGTATCTGTAGGAACTCTAAGTATTTTGAGGGTCTGTAGCACTACTTCAAAAACAGGATGAAATCTGCTATCAGGACCTCATTAAAAGTATTTATCTAGGCTGAAGCTGGTGGAATACAGCAAGTAAAGTTATAGCAAGGCTTTGGAAGAGTCCATTGGTACCTGCTGCCCTGCGGTGAACTTTATTGTTACACCTTAACAATATTGGACAGGAGTTCAAACCTGACATTTGGAAAGCTTTTTGGATTATTTATCAACAAATAAAAATGGAGTGTAAAGACTAAATGTTTGCAAATTAAAACCAGAAACTGTAAACCCATTTACCTGCAGATGGAAGAAAGTACTCCTTGCCAGACTGAATTCTGTGTTTTGACACCTGTAATTTACAGGGAGCATTTAACACTGGATTTATAACAGGAAGTGTAATTTATACCTTAGCCAACAAGGGTCACAGATGCCATATTTCTGGGTGATATTAGAGCATTTTATTTACCATGAACTTTTAAGCATCTAAAACCAACTGTGGAGAGATAGAGATGCTCCAAATATGAAAAATACATTAGTTAGGATGGCTGCCTATTGCTCCTTGGCCAGTTGGCATAGTCTGGCTGTGTAATCCCCATCTCAGAACTGGTCCTTCTGTGCCAGAACTAATGATGTTCTGTGGAGCCATGGACAGCAGGGCTCAGATTGACCCATGCAGCCAGGCCAGCTTGGGCAGGACTCAGTGCTTACACTGGCTGAAGCAGAGCTGCTGTTGTTGGAAAGAGCGTTCCCTATTCAACAGCCTGGTTCACTTTGGGCAAATCCTCAGCTGCTTATGACAAGGTACAAGCACACACAGTGGGAAATTTTGGTTAAGAAATGCTTAATTCCTTTTCAGCCTAAATGAGACAAGTTTTCTTTTCTGAATTTCAACATACTCAATATAAATATTGCTCTGTTTATACAAAATTATTCTTACCAAATTCAGCCTGATTTAACTCTTTTTAAGAAGATTTAAAACAAAAGAATACAAAACAGAGAAAGTGGCCTTAAGCACGTACTGCTTCCTGTAAGGAAATAAAAACACATTGCTCTACAGTAATTAAATTGGTGAGGAATTAATATTTTTAAGCAGAAACTAATGTAATATGAGTGAATTATGGTAGTATGTGAGAAATAAAATAAATGACAGGTACTGAAAATTAATTTTTGTTGGATAATTCTGTATTGCTTTGCTTTACAGAATTACATAAATACTATACACCAGACAGACATTACAAAATGAAAGTTCTTGGACCTGATTTTATATTCATCCAATCTAATGGAAGTAGAGACTACAGAAACAGCTTTTGTCATGGGAATAAAATAAAAATGCTACCAGTGAACTTGTCTTTTTGCATTCTCCCCTGGTTAATCTTTGCAGTCAATATAGCTCATGAGTCTTTAGAGCAGCCTTAGACAAATATATCTTTTGCTAATAGTCTTTTGCTAATAGCATTTTTCACTGCATTTTAAAACCTTGGCAAAGGACATGAGAGAAGTATGGCTCTTACTCAAAGGGTTGTTATAGTCCAAAGGAAATGCATATTTGTGAAGGTCAAAGGAAAGACCTTAGTGACATGCAAAAAAACAACAACAACAAAAAAAAGAGGTGGGGATTTCAAGAAACAACTTTTCTTCACTCAGAACAATCCCATGCATGTATCTGTTAACTCTTGTCATACATCTAAATCATTTTACAGTGTGCACCATTTTTACTACCGGAAAGAAGAGTTTTGCAGAGATGACTTGAAATGGTCTCTATAGTATATCTGCTATGAACTAGTAAGAACTGTGGGGTTTTCAGGACAGTAGCTAGGGGTAGTTAGTAGTTTTTTTATGAGTTTTTTCAAATTAGCAAGCTGTGCAGTATAGCTGCTAAAGGAAGCAATACAAGCTCATGGCACCTTTAACTGATACAATTTTGTGCATCTCTCCCAACAATTTCTGTGTCAATTTAATTATTCTCCTGCTGAGTTTTTTTCCCAGATGTTAGATCATAAGCAAGATACTAAACAGTTCATGTAGTATCTGGGGCTGGACTACTGACTGGGATCTTAAATGACCAAAACAAAAAATGGTAGCTTGCAATAACTAATACCACATTAACTAAAAAAATGGGAAAAGATAGTAAAAATCTACTAAGCCAAGCAATATAATTGCTCCGGTTTTCTTTTATATGGTGATCTCTAAGAGGCTCAGATAAAAAAAACAAACAAAAAAAACAAAACAAAACAAAAAAAACCCAACGCAACCACAACAGAATAGAGGATACCACATAAAAAGAAACCTGGTTTTCTAAAATTCCTTTTATTTGCTTATTTGCTTTTAATTTGTTTATTTGCTACTTAACATTGTAGAATTCTGCTTCCTAATTGGTATGTAGTCCCTTAATCATAAATGGATTTTACTGGCCAATAATAATTAACAAATAACTCTGAAATTTTAAAAATGAAATTAAACGTTAGGAATTGACTGATCAAGGGCTAATATATAAATACTGAATTAACTTCAAAGTCCAAAAAGCCCATCCAAGCGTAATTTAAAAAGAAAAAATGATTTGTGAAATTATTTGCAGTAAAGTATTCAGTCACCTCTGATTCTACCTGATTCCCTCTATGTGTTCAGTCTATAAAATATAGAACAGGCTGGATAAACCTTAAACTCCCTACTGGAAAGCTACACCTTCAAAAAATTGCTCAGTATAGAATAGAAATTGTCTAAAATACATGCTCTACCTCACTGAGGAACAATAGTACAGTGGAGGAACCACTGAGGGGTGAAATGCTATCAGGTCCATCAGGAATATTTGCTATATTTGCTATTGCGTTAATGCTGCTATTTAGCCTGTATTTTTGCAGTGCCAGCAAAATACCATTAGACACGACCCCATTTCAAACATAAAGTGGCAAAAATCCCTTCAGAAAAATTGAACATCAACTCAAGCTGAGACTGGACAGAGCTTTTGGGGATAGCTTACTGTTGATATAGTTGATTTCCAAATCTGAGGAAATGTATGATGTTTCTCCTATCCAGGAGGCCAGCAACTATGAGACTGTAAGCAAATGGATAATAAAAATGATTCCTTATCCTTTTTTTCCCCCAAAAATCAAAGATCTGCAGTTGCTTTTAATATTCTTTTGCTTTTATGCTAACAAGCTGACAGTGTAAATTCCTGTCCATTTACAGAAAGATCCACATTCCTCTGCACTGACCATTTTTTCCAAAATGCATGGAAAAATGCATTTGGAAATTCAAAACAACAACCAACAAAATAATCCATCTCTTCCCACCCTCCTCCCCTTCTAGTATTTTCATTGTGATTGCAGTTAGTATAATATCATCCTTTACTGTTTCTCAAATAATTGACCTGTGCTTAAGCTCAAGAGCTTTCTATTGCAGCAGCAAGGTGACTGATATCCTTTTGTGCAGAGTGTACCTGCTACAGAAGAGGAGAAAGACAAGAAGCATCTCCCAGGAGCTGTAAAACTTCCAGGTCCTGCTGTCAACTTGTCAGAGATTCAGAACATAAAGAGTGAGCTGAAATTTGTCCCCAAAGCTGAGCAGTAATTGGAAGAAGCAGGTGAGTAAGAGAGGTTCTTTCCATACTCTTGGAAAAGCAGGGTGATCTAGACACATTTTTATGCCGAAAGATGGCTTTCCAATTATTTCAAAAATCCTGGAATCACACCCCATATTTCAAAGATAAAATACAATTTGTAGAAGAAGAGGTCAAATAATCCTTGGAATTCTTCTTTATTTCAAACATGCAGCATGCAGGAGACTGTATCTGATGATACATGATGTACTTCAACCTGCCTTACAAAGAGTGTGTTTTGCTATTAGGAATATTTTGAAGCCAGCTAAAGAATACCATCTTGTTCCACAAGCACAAGTTCCAATTTTATGGAGTGCAAGATTTGTACACTCTAACTACAAATAAATGTATTATAATGCAAATAAATATGTTAAAATGATGGAGAAGTAGGTCAGTATTTTTAAAAAGCTCCTTCAGAACACTAGAGATTGGATATAATTTTATTTATGTAATTCAAAACTAATGTACTAGTGCTTCCAATCATTTTGTCACACAAATGCACCCAATGCCACTTATGGCATCCAAGAACATGCAACATAGCTATCTGGTGCTCAGAAATATGATGTGGGACCTCAAGAACCACCTCCTCTGGAGTGACAGCTGGAGACCAAAGAGGGACTCTCAGTTACTACAGACAGCGCCAGATACTACGGATTGAGGTGCTAATCTGATCAGCACCACAACTCATAATTCATCTTGGTTATATTCATCACTTTAGAATCATAGAATAGAATTGCAGTAGAATGGTTTGGTTTGGAAAATACCTGAAAATCATCCTGTTCCAACCCCTCTGCCATGAACAGGGACACACACTTTCACTACACCAGATTGCCCAAAGCTCTATCTAACCTGGTTTTGAATGGGGAATCCACAGCTTCTCTGGGCAACTTGTTCTGATGCATCACAATCCTCTGAGTTAATAATTTCTTCTTAGCATTTAATCTAAATCAACATTCTTTTAGTTAAAAGCCATCACCCCTTATCCTATCACAGTACTCCTCAATGAAGAGTCCCTCCCCATCTTTTCCCTTAGGCCTTCTTTAGGTACTGGAAACTACCTGAAGGTGTACCTTGGCCTTCTCTACTATAGGTCGAATAACCCAAATCCTCTCAGCATGTCTTCATAGAAGAGGTGTTCCAGTCCTCTGATCATATCTCTGGATGCACTCACTCCCCAGGGCTGAACATAGTACTGCAGGTGGAGTCTCATGGAAGTGGAGCAGAGGGGGAGAATCACCTTCTTTGCCCTGCTAGCTATACTTCTATTGGTAAGGTTTGCTCTCTGGTCTTCAGGCATACATTGCCATTTCGTGTTGAACATTTTGTCCATCTGTAACCCCATGTACAGCTCTGCAGTGTTACTCTTTCACTTATTGCCCAGGCTGTATTCCTATTTGGGATTACCCCAACCTTGCACATTAACACAGATTTCGGAATCATTTGCACCTGATTTCAAACAAAGCCAATAAATCTCTGTTCTACGTTCTGAGCCATAGAAAAAAAAAAAAAAAAGAAGAAAAGAAAAGAAAAGGTCATTTCCATCCCTGAAGTTATCATCTAATTTTCTTTGACAAGCCTTAGTCAATAAAGATATATCAGGCAGTTATGATGAATGTTCCGCTTTGCAGAGGAGTTTAAATCAAAAATAACTGAAGACGGTAAGATACTCGTGTCAGATTGTAGTCATCTGAATTGCCAGCTGTGGCTATTGACACAAGTCCTTTTTATCATTAAGAGAAACAGAAGAGCTAAGCTGAGTAAAAGAACATCGTCTGGAATTTACTGCACATAAACATTAAAACAAAACAAAACAAAAAGCAATGCAGAAAGATTTTGTGAACACAGAAGTGCTACGGTCCAGTGATCTTAAAGGAAATGGCTTATAATCTGAGTGAATTGTCTCAACATGCTCTGCAGCATTAATATATTTTTTTAATGTACACTATAAATATGCCATTTAGAAGAAAAATGTGTTTAGTTTTTTTCTTGCTTTTACCCTGCTGTGTCACAACGTGCCTGTTATTTTAAAAGAAATAACAGCCTTTCTCTTTGGGAAACCTGGGAAAAGGAAAACTAACATTTTGTAAAATGTAACATTATAGTCATCACACTAAAGGAGTGCCCAGAGAAATATGAATTTTTAATGCCAGGCTTTAAAGATTTTTTCTCTCTATAAGAGGTATCTATATAGAAATGTGACTCCATGTTTTGTCTAAGACAATTGTTGTTTTCAGTATTTAAATTTGTAATTTTATTACTAGCTTATGGAGCGTCTGAAAGTAACAATTAGAGCATGCACAGACATTTCCTATACAGAAAAGATTTTGACAGGAAGGTCAGTAAAGTAGAATAATAGAATCATAGAATTACCAAAGTTGGAAAAGACCTACAAGATCACCCAGTTCAACCGTTCACTTAAAAGTAAAACAAGTAAAAGGCATCCTGAAAGCTGTGAGGTCATTATGAAGTCATTTCCTTCTCCATGCTTCTTTTGATGTTGCGTTGCTTACCACGTTCTGATGGTGACACAAATGGGAAGGCAGATCACATTGCTTGTGGGGAGGGCAGAAAGGAGCAAAGGGTAAAGGGGGCCCTGAAGTACAGGAGGATTTCAAAAGGGAATGGCTGTGTGAAATGACATAGTCCTGTTGGTAGCAGGAGGTGATCAGAAGTTACACATGTCCAGCCATTAACTATTTACCTTTGCAAGGGGAAGCAATTGATTAAAGGTATCTCTCCCAAGAGAGAAACTGCTGGTTGTTTTTGATTCCAGATACTACTGCAGCGATGCTAAATATGATCGCCATTTACGTATTTATCTGACTACTGTGAGAAATACCACTTTCTAGAGTATGGATAGTAAAGTCACAGATCATTTCTAAAATGATAACTTCTAGAAGACTTTCAGGCACAGCACTCACTGGAGATTAGGAGTTTGGTTTTGATTGCAGTGCTGAACTAAGCGTATGCATGAATTCTACATGATATTGAAATGCAAATCAACTGTATGCCACATCCAGTGGCCTGGAAAGGTACTAAATCTAAGGATAATGCCCCATATAAGATATTCATATGTTCAGTTATTTTAGTCATGTCCTGCAGTCTCATATAAAATATGAGGCAATCACTGAATTGTTTTATGGCTGACCATTTCAAGCTAGTGAAGATTATCTGTATTTGTGAGAAGTTCACATTCACATCTGCCTCGTACTTTGCTTCATGGCCAAGAAGAGGTTACTGACCATCATTTGGATGTGATGCTCTCTACAGAATGGTACATTGATTGGTCAAAAGAATATGTCTGTTCAGAGTGCATAGTGATAAATGGGTACATTGCTTGGCTTTCATAGTTTGGAAATGAATTATCTCTCACATTAGTACAATAAACTCTTCAGATATTCACAGTTGAGGGATTTCCCTTAGTTAGTATTTTTATGTTTCTCGTGGTACTCTGTAGATAACCACTGAAGCTAGTGTAATAATTCCAAATTCTCTAGATAGTTTCCATTACGTTGTAATTATATAATGCAATATCATAAAAGTATCAAAAACATACAGAAATGTATCAAAAATACCAGAGGTTTTATAACTACAACAATTATTTCTAACACTTCCTTCTAATACTGTCGTTTTCCAAGGCATAGTTTCAGTAACTGGCGAGTCAGTGTCGTCGATTTTGTTTAAATTTTGATCCACGTTGTGCTGTTTTATACTGCAAACTCATCAACAAAAATAAAGAACTGAAGAACAGTAGGTTGGTCCATTATTTACAAATTTAATCCTGCAAAATTTGTACTTTAAAGTAACTTCAGTTAAATATCTTTGGTTTTACTCTTTCACCAAACTAGGAAATACGGAGAAACTACAATCATAGCTGTGAGTCTTAACAGTTTGTGGGATGGATATAATTAGTAAGGTGTCATAAAGCTGGATCCAGTGAAGGTCACAGAGTGCTTATTAGTTAAGATATTCCTGTAGTCATCTCTTACTGCTGATCTATCACCTATAAATAGCCCATTAGAATACTCTGTTTTATTATAATGATATTTTTTTTTCCACAGAACTCTAAATGTTGTTTGATGCAACTAGTTTTATTATACAAATATGATTCACTTTCCTTTTCTCACCTTCAATTTTTTTTGTTGTTCCCCTTCCACATACCCATTTTTACATGCACAAGAACGAAACATACACAGAGTAGAATCACAGCATAATAGCACACACTAATCAGCTAAGTATATGTCTTGCTGAGTTAAGCCATGCTACGAAGCATTTAATTTCTAATAAATGGAGCATGCTATGGCTGTGATTCATTACTGATTGTGGATATATCTCATAAGGTAACTAGCATGGTGATTGCAAATGGAAATATGACAGCACAAATTGTCATTTCTCCTAAATAGAGTGTATATTACTTGAAGACATAGAATATAGAATATTTGGGTTCTTTCTACATTTTATTCTGCTTTGTGTTTTGTGTCCTAAAAAGTGGATGTTTATGTAACAAGCACTTGTACGAGTACCTTGAAGGACCATGGAGTCTGAATACTGGGCTGTAGTTTCAAAGGGCCCAAGCCATCAGCTAATGTGGTCCAGTCTTTTCTCTTGAAGTAGATTTTTATACAGCTACTGAATAAATTTCTCAAAAGGGAAAAAAAGGGAAATTTACTGCCTTGAAGTTACAAAAAAAAAAAAAAAAAAAAAAAAAAAAAAAAAATTCCTTGTCATGGACATACAGGCAGCACTGCTGGCATTCCTTTCTGGATGTGTTTGGGGAAAGCTCTCACTGCAATCCCAATCACATCCCTACTCAGAGTCTGGTCAGACACGGTTGCTAAGCCATGTCAGGGCTGTTTCTAACAGGGTGCCTGTCTTGTTTGAGGTGTGAGAAACACACAGCTGGTACTCGTAGATTATCCCTTGTCTGGAATTCTGGGAGAGTGGCTTAACTGCCAAATGAGCAGTAGTTCTGTTGTCAGGTACAGAAGCAGGTGAGTTCTCAAGGAACAAACAGCTAGCAAGAACTTCCCAGGGTAGCTTAGACTTTGCAGTCCTTGCAACATTACCTCCTCTGTAACATACCAGAATAATTTGCCTCACAAAAAATGAGGACTCTTGTCAGCAGAGCAGCTATGCAGATTGGCATCACTTAAAGAAGAAAGAGAGAGGAAGGGAAAAAAAACGGAAGTCCCTTAGAGGATAGAACTCTTATATGCATACTTAAAAGACTTTCCTTGGTGTTGCTATTAATTATTTACAAAAAAAGTCAATTACTCTGAGCTAAAAATACACATTATAATTTTTCCCACTGAGTACTATGGATGTTAATTACAGCTTCATGCTACATACTACATTTAGGATGCATCTCAGCTGAAAGCTGTTATGTACTTCTCTTTATGTCACTGTTTTGATACACTTTTCAGTGATTGTGTCTTACTTCTGTGCTCAGGTAGACCAAAAGAAGATGGTTAAACTACTACAAGTCTACTTACTTCATTCTTTCAAACTTTAAAATAGAAGACCTAGAGATTTCTTTTAAGAGAGAAAACTGGGATCCCAGGAAACAATTCCATTTTAGAGGAGCTGTATTAAAAAAAAAGAAAAAAAGTTACTCACGTTTTGTTTCCCAGTGTTTCTGGGTTTTAAAGTAAAAATTGAGTTAATCCCTTCAGCTGTCCATTGGAAACCAAGTCTCTTCGCTATCACTGCTGAAATGCTGCAAGCCTCAGCATGATATTCTTCAGGCCTTTGCAAATCAACTAGAGGTTGCCTTCATGTTCACTTATTAAATGGTGGAAGTGAGCAGGAAAACTGGCTGGAGAGACTCTGCTTTCTAAATGCCTTGGGTAGCTTAAAGATCTGCATTTGTAAAGCAAAGAACAAGATATGCTCTAAAGAACAACAAATACTTCCATATGAAGTTGTTACACAGAAAATTACTGTGTTTTGTAGTTTTGAAAACTAACAGCTTCAAAGCAAACACTGTAAAATCAAAAAGCATTTTGCTCCAAAGGAAACTACAAGAATGGATACTTGAATTTTTTTTCAAAGCATAAAATATGCAAAACATTTCTGTGCCAAGTTGTGTCTTCAAGCAGAGTGTTTTATTACTGGAAGAGACAAGCACAAAGTAGTAACCCAAAGAGCTCTCATTTTTCCCATGGGTCTGAGTGTGGCAGCATGTCTCTATTAATTTTTAGAATGTGACCATATTATTTACTACTCTGCCATTGCTGTGTTCAGGGCTCCCTCTGAAAGTCTGCAGACATGTGGAGGTCAACAGACCTCAACTAATATACAGAAGAAATTTCTTTGTTGAATCTCCTGCATCAACCCATTAATGACTTTGAAGTACACAGTCTCACATTAGCAGGGTGGTCCTGCAAATCTCTGCTCCTTTCACAGATGAGAGCCATTAGTCTTCAAAATGAGAGAAAGGCACCAGAGGGCTGCTCTAAAAGTAACGCCTTCTATTTTGTTATGTTGCTCCACTATGCCAGAGGTGAGTGTTCATGGCATGGCAGCAGAGGCTGAACCTTCCCACCAATATCCCATTGCATTTTGTTGCCATGCAACAGATGGCAGTAGAGGGACAGTTTGACAAAATGGAGTCTGACATGGAAGTGCATATGAAGCAAAGGTGTGTCACTGAATTCCTCTATGCAGAAAAAATGGCACCCACTGACATTCATCAGCACTTGCTGAATGTTTATGGAGACCAACCAGTGGACATGAGCACAGTGAGACAATGGGTGGTGTTTTTCACCAGTGGCAACAGCAATGCAAAAGAAAGGCAAGCCATGCTCCAGATGGCCACACACAGCTGACACACTGCAAAATGAAGAGCATCTCAAACAGCTGATCCATATGAATTGGATCCGGGTGGTGACTATGTTGGAAATTTGTGTTTTGTAGCTGAAAATTTGATCTTTCAAATAGTGTTATTATG